ATCACTTTAGGTCAGGAGTTCAAGACCAGCCTGGCCAACATGGTGAAACCCCAACTCTACTAAAAATACAAAAATTAGGAAAGCATTAATCCCAGTTATTCAGGAGGCTGAGACAGGGGAACTGCTTGAACCCGGGAGGTGGAGGTTGCAGTGAGCCGAGATGGTGCCACTGTACTCCAGACTAGCAAGAGAGCAAGACTCCTTCTAAAAAAAAGAAAACAAAAAAGGAAGAAAGAAAATCATACCGAATTTTGGATATAACAACAGCTACAAATAGACGATGTGCTAAATGCTTTGAACATTTACAGCCTTCAGTAGGGACTCTGCTTCCTACAGTGATGGATTCAATAAATGAGACCCACCTTCCCATTTGTGACAACCAAAAAAGTTGGATGAAAAAATAATTTTTTTTTTGAGGCAGTCTCGCTCTATTGCCCACGCTGGAGTGTGGTGGCGTGATCTGGGCTTGCTGCAACCTCCACCTAGAAGGTTCAAGCGATTCTCCTGCCTCAGCCTCCTAAGTAGCTGGGATTACAGGCATGTGCCACCATAGCCGACTAATTTTTGTATTTTTAGTAGAGATGGGGTTTCACCATGTTGGCCAGGCTGGTCTTGAACTCCTGACCTCAAGTGATATGCCCACCTCGGCCTCCCAAAGTGCTGGGGTTACAGGCGTGAGCCACCCCGCCCAACCTGAAAACATTTGTATTAAATCATAAAAACAATAAACCAGGGCCCAGCGCAGTGGCTCACGCCTGTAATCCCAGCACTTTGGGAGGCAGAGGCGGGTGGAGTTTGAGACCAGCCATGACCAATATGGTGAAACCCCGTCTCTATTAAAAATACAAAAATTAGCTGGGCATGGTGGTGGGCACCTGTAGTCCCAGCTACTGGAGAGGCTGAGACAGGAGAATCACTTGAACCCAGCAGGTGGGGGTTGTAGTGAGCCAAGATTTTGCCATTGCACTCCAGCCTGGATAACAGAGTGAGACACTGTCTCAAAAAAAAAAAAAAAAAGTATGAGGTCGGACATGGTTGTTGACACCTATAATCCCAGCGCTTGGGAAGGCTGAGGTGGAAGAATCATTTGAGGCCAGGAGTTGAAACCAGCCTGGACAACAGAGCAAGACCCTGTCTCAGCAAAAAATTAAATTTTAAAAAAGGACTATATAAGAGGGTCTTTAGAAGTAGGAAACCTAACCAGAAAGATAAGCAAATTTAATGTAGTGTGCCCTCCGGACACCACCCTCGGAAGTTCTGGAGGCGTGACATCAGAGTCCCCTACCGCTGCCCCTGCTCCTCTGCCAAGAGCCATGGCATTTCAGCAATGCAAGTGGACAAGAGGGAAATGCCTGGTGACTATGTAAGGGGACACCTGTCTACCACGCCCCTCATATCTCAGGGACATTCCCACATAGGACGGTGACCACTTACTTTGCTGGGGGGAGAATAAGTGGCTGTCTGGATGACAATCTGGAAATGTCAGAATGTAATTGCTCACAGCCTTCCACACAGCAATTCCACTGTCCTAGGAATTCCCTCTACAGATGCTCTTTCACAAGTGCACAGAGACACAGACACAAGAATGTCCACTATGGCACCATTTGCAAGAATGAAAAACTGGGCTGGGCTTCGTGGCACACACCCAGCTACTCAGGAGGCTGAGGCAGGAGGATTGCTCAAGCCCAGGACTTTCAGAGACCAGCCTAAGCAATATAGCAAGACCTTGTGTCAAAAGAAAAAAAAAAGTGAAAAATTGGAAACAACCCAAAAGTTCACTATTAGAGGCATAGTTTAAAAGTTCAGGCATATCCATATATATCGTGAAGCCATTAAAAAGGATGAGGAGGCCAGGCGCAGTGACTCATGCCTGCAATCCCAGCACTTTGGGAGGCCGAGGCGGGCGGATCACCTGAGGTCAGGAGTTCCAGATCAGCCTGGCCAACATGGTGAAACCCCATCTCTACTAAAAATACAAAAATTAGCCAGGCGTGGTGGTGGGCATCTGTAATCCCAGCTACTGGGGAGGCTGAGGCAGGAGAATGGCTTGAACCCAGGAGGTGGGGGTTGCAGTGAGCCAAGACTGCACCACTGCACTCACGCCTGGGCAACAGAGTGAGACTCTGTCTCAAAAAAAGAAAAAAATAAAATAAAAGATGAGGAATGTTTTTATGTGTTGGCAAGTTTTTTGTACTGGCGCATATATATATATATATATATATATATATATATATATTTTGAGATAGAGTCTCACTCTGTTGCCCAGGCTGGAGTGCAGTGGCACGATCTTGTTCACTGCCACCCCTGCCTCCCAGGTTCAAGCAATTCTTCTGTTTGAGACTCCCGAGTAATTGGGATTATAGGCGCCCTGCCACCACACCTGGCTAATTTTGTATTTTTATTTATTTATTTTTAAATTTT